TTTCTTTCTTTCTTTCTTTCTTTCTTTCTTTCTTTCTTTCTTTCTTTCTTTCTTTCTTTCTTTCTTTCTTTCTTTCTTTCTTTCTTTCTTTCTTTTTTTATATAGGGTCTAGATATGCAGCCCAGGCTGGCCTTGAGCTCACTATAGTCCTCCTGCCTCATCCTTCTGAGTCCTGGGATTACATGTGTATGCCACCACACTTAGTTCCTGATTAGTTTTCTTTACTAGTTCTAGGAATATTTAAATTTTCTACTTCAACTTGGGCTAGTTTTTTTGTTTGTTTGTTTGGTTTGGTTTGGTTTTTTGAGACAGAATTTTTCTGTGTAGCTTTGGCGCCGTTCTTGGAACTCACTCTGTAGCCCAGGCTGGCCTCAAACTCACAGAGATCCGGCTGCCTCCCTCTGCCTCCTACGTGCTGGGATTAAAGGTGTGCTCCACCACCGCCTGGCTGCCAGTTTTACTGATACGTTTTTTTGATATTTTTCCATTTCATTAGATTTTTCGGATTTGTTAATGTACAGTTGTTAATTGTATACTTCTGTTTTGTTTTAGTTTGGTTTTTGAGACAAGATCTCGTGTAGCTCTAGCCCTCCTTGAACTCACCGTGTAGGAGAAAATGGCCTTAACTCCTGATCCTCTGACCTCCACCCCGCAGGTCAGGTGCCGGGGTAACCATGTTGACTTCTGTCCGGCTCATCCCGCCGTCCCTCCTGGGTCACGTCGGCCTCTCTGTCATTCTCAGCAGCTGCTCTAGCCGGTTGCAGGTTTTCGGTGGCTTCGGGGATTCGAACTCACATTCTCACACCTGGGCAGCACACCTGCTGAGCTGTTCACACCTGCTCAGACCCCATTCTGCTCCCGCGCTGCGCCGTGGGAACCCTTTCCATCCTCCTCCTCCTCTTTAGTGGTGAAGATTCTTTCCTTCCCCCTTCCTCTGCCCACACGGGTCAGTGAGGAAACCCCTCGTCCTTTGTTCTGATGTGCTTTGTTCAGGATACTTGTTGGTTGCTTGTCTTGTCTTTTGAGTCAGGCTGGCTTTGAGTTCTGGGCACACACACACACACACACACACACACACACACACACACACACCGTCCCCCGTCCTGATGGAGTCGCAGGTGTGTGAGCCCACACCTGACTCCTCCTTACAGCTCTTTCCACGCAGTGTATCCAGTGCTCCCACGTGTTTGCAGTTATGTAGTAAATACCCCAGGGCACATGTGTCCACTGTCTCGCCTCCGTTACTGTGCTAGATGAAATCATTTGTCCCCAGCCTTTGTCATGACGAAAGACTGTTTCATATGTGTGTTCCCTATAACTACTTAAGTATGATCTGACTTGTTTAATTTTTTGATTATTTATTTACTTATTTTTGAAACAGGGTCTCACTGTGTAGCTCTGGCTGGCCTGGAACTCACTCTGTAGACCAGGCTGACCTCGAACTCACAGAGGTCCTCCTGCCTCTGCCTCTTTGAGTGCTAGGATTGAAGGCATGCGCCGCCATGGCCCACTACACCACCATTTTTAATGTCTTCCAAAAGAGGCTTCCCTCCCCTTCTTCCCTCCCCCTCTTCCCTGCGCACGCACGCACGCACGCACGCACACGCACACACACGCACACACACCCGCCAGCCTTCCTTTCTTGTACTAAGAATCAAACCAGGGCCTTGTGCATGGTAGGCCTCCGAGTTATGCCCAGCTCTGCCAGAAGGTTCTTCTTCTAATATCTAGGTTCACGATTTATCTGTTTTGGGGGAAGTGGAGAGATTTATCAGACACTTCTCCTGTAGCCCAAACTATCCTTGATGTCCTGACCCTCTTGCCACTTCCTAAGCTCTGGGATTACAGGCGTGGCTTACCTTTTATCGATTTTTTGTGTAATACGTTGCAGTCAGAAAAGTACACCATTTAATTTTGAGTCCTCTTAGGTGTGTTGAGTCTGGCTCTGTGGTCCAGTGTACATACATTGGTGTCTGGACACGCATGTAGAGGACACACGTGGTCATGTGGAGTCTGGCTCTGTGGTCCAGTGTACATACATCGGTGTCTGGACACGCATGTAGAGGACACACGTGGCCATGCGGAGTCTGGTTCTGTGGTCCAGTATACATACATCAGTGTCTGGACATGCATGCAGAGGACACGTGGCCATGCTGCCTACTATTCTAGGTCATGATTTTCAGATGTGTTCTTCCGATCTTTTGTGTCCGTATTGATTTGTCTCCTGCTGTATCAATTTGTTTATCATTTTTAATTAGTCTCTGATCTATGGGCTGTTTATTCATCTAGTTCACTAATATTTATGAAGTCCCCTATGCCATGGACTTTGCTAGTTGCTAGTTATATTTCAGTAAAGAACAGATAATAATTCACACAGTAAGTTATGAGAGACAGGCAATAGCAAGATATAGAATTTGGATGTTAAAATTAATTTCATCCCCAAAGGCTTGTGTTATAGAGTGACATTCTGTGTTTTGTCTGTATGATATTGATACAGTACAGTAACTTCTTTGAGTTACTATTGTTTTATTTTTCATCTTTCACCCACACGCCCCCACCCAGCCTCCTGTTTTTATGTTTTAAATGTGTTCTTTGAGCAGTATATTGTTCATCTTTTTTTTTAATTAGTCTGAAAGTGTCTTTGTTTTTGTTTTTGTTTTTTGTTGTTGTTGTTGTTTTGAGACAGGGTTTCTTTGTGTGTATTCTTTTTTTTTGGTTTTTCGAGACAGGGTTTCTCTGTGTAGTTTTGTGCCTTTCCTGGAGCTCACTTGGTAGCCCAGGTTGGCCTCGAACTCACAGAGATCCGCCTGGCTCTGCCTCCCGAGTGCTGGGATTAAAGGCGTGCGCCACCACCGCCCAGCTTGTGTGTATTCTTGGAACTGTCCTGGAACTCCTTCTGTAGCCCAGGCTGGCCTCGAACTCACAGCCTCCCGAGTGCTGGGGTTAAAGGTGTGCACCCCACCACCCAGCTCTGACGGTGTCTTTAAGTGTTGGGACTTTCTCTCCCTGCTCAGGACTGAACGTCGGTCCTGTGCTTGCCGGCTGGTGCTCTCCCAGGAACTACATGCATCCCTGTTTAACCTTCCGAGGTTTAACCATCTTCCAATCCCACCAGTGCCTCGTGAGATTTTTGATTTCTGTATCCTGGCCAGGGCTTGGCGTCACCTCCTCACCGGAGCCCTTGTAGTGAGTGTGGAGTGGCATCTCCTTGTGGTTTTGATCGGCACTTCCCTGACAGTGTGGTTTCGTCTGTTTGTTGATGATTTCTCTTCCCTGAAGCAATGTCTGTTTAACTCTTTTAACATGTTCAAATAGGATTATTTATCTTTTATTACTAGAGTGTAAATGTTCTTTCTTCCCTTCTCTTTTTTGTGACAAGATCTTGCACCGTAGCCCAGGCTGGCCCTGAACCTTAGATTCTCCTGCTTCAGCCTTCCCGGGGCTGTGATCACAGCAGCCAGCTCACATACATAGCTCCTGTCTCTGAGCTCACTTGGTGGATTGTAGCCCAGGTTGGCCTTGAGTTCACAGCAATTGTCCAGCATTAGTTTCCCGAGTGATGGGATTATAGGTTTGGGTTTGCTCTACCATGTTTAAACACACTTAAAAAAATGGGGAACACTTCATGAATCTGCGTATCGTCCTTGCTCAGGGGCCATGCTAATCTCTGCATCCTTTCAGTCTTAGTGTGTGTGCTGCCGAGCTGAGCCCCACTTTTTTTTTTTTTTAATTTACTGTTATGTGAGTGCGAGTCCGTGCCTCAGCTCATACACGGGTGTCAGAGGACAGTCTGTAGGAGCTGGTTCTCCCTCTGCTGTGTGGGACCCTGGGGATCAAACTCAAATCGTTGGGCTTGACTGCAGATACCTTGACCCACCGAGCCTCTCACCAGCCCCACACGCCATGTTTATACAAAGCAAGGAAGAGACACGGAGATTGATTGCCTGTCTGCAGTCAACTTGCCTAATTTCTCTTCCATTTTTCGCCTCTTACCATCTGGCCACCTGAGCAAATGTCTTAATTGCATCATTTGATAAGTTTCCATGTCTTGGGCCACAAAGCTGGGGTGCTAATGCCTTTCACTGTTGTTTTGGTTTTTTTGTTTTGTTTTTTGAGACAGGGTTTCTCTGTGTAGCCCTGGATGTCCTGAACTTGCTCTGTAGACCAGGCTGGCCTCGAACTCAGATCCACCTGCCTCTGCCTCCTGAGTGCTGGGATTAAAGGCGTGCCACTGCCTAGCATGCTAATGCCTCTCTTCCTGGGTCTTTGTGACAACCAAATAAGCGAATCTGTGTAGCATGTCACATGCCCAGTGTCTGGCGTAAGAACCGCTTAGCGGAAGGTAGCTGCTCCGGGAACCGAAGGTCGCCTGGTGGTTTTTACGACTGACTCTCCCTCCTGTCCTGCTGCAGTTCCTGTGTGATGAGGGCGCGGGTTTATCTGGGGACTACATCGATCGCGTGGACGAGCCCTTGTCCTGCTCCTACGTACTGACCGTTCGGACTTCTCGGCTCTGCCCCCACCCTCTCCTCCGGCCGCCAGCCAGCGCTGCTCCACAGGCCATTCTCTGTCACCCGGCCCTGCAGCCCGATGAGTACATGGCCTACCTCCAGAAGCAAGCTGGTAAGTACACACAGGAAAACCCGGGAGAGACGGGTTTGGGGGCAGGCGGGCGCAGCGTTGGACCGGATCCCTATTCCGTTTGCACACTTTTTCTGGTAGAGTCCAAGCAGCGGGAAGAGAAAATGACAGACGAAGCTCAAGACACAGATCACCAAGTGTGGAGTGAGACCAAGTCTGCTGGAGTACCCCCAAAGAAAGAAGGTAGGGTGTGCTTTTGACCTCCCAGGAACTGGCCACGCCCACCTTCCTTCCCCGATCTTACTGCTGACAGTCGTGGGTAGACTCCAACCCATTGGCACCCAAAGAGGGAGTGTTCCTCCTCCTCCTCCTCTCTCCCTTTTCTCACATCCCCTCTGTTCTCTATGCCCCAGATGCCAGCCCAACCAAGGAAGATAAGGAGTCAGAGTTCTGGAAGACGCTACACGAGCCAGAGGAACAGGCTGCCGGAGGAGAGGAGGCACAGGCAGGGGTGAGGAGGGCCTCCCAGCCACCTCTGAGGAGCCTGGACTCAGGCTTTGGGAGGGGTAGGGTCCCTCCAGCTGAGGTCTACGAGGCGACCTCTGTGTCTAGGGACGAAAGGACATTGCTTGAGGAGCATGGAGGGTATAAGCAAGTCTTCATGCCTGAGTCTGCCCTTTCTCCTCATCAGGAGCAGGACCTGAACCCTGAGGCTGCAGCGGATCCAGCTCCCAACCCTCCTAATGGTCAGTCAACTGTCTCCTCTAGTCCTTAGGTGGGGTAGAGTAACACTAAACACTCAGAGGTCAAGATCCCTCCCTCCCTCCGTTTCTCATGGTGCCCAGAACTGAGCCCAGACTCTTGCACACTGATGCTCTACCACTTAGCCATCCAGCCCCTGCCCCGTGAGCTCACTTTGGCTGCGTCAGCCTCTTCCTGAGCAGCAGCAGGAAGACCATGTACAGAGGTCAAAGGGCACTGGGGCTCCACTGCTCACTAACTCTGCACTCACAGACGGTGTCATGAAATGTCAGTTTCCCCTAGAGAGTTGGGAGGGTGAATGGAAATGGATCTGTGCTTCACAGTAGAGCGCCTAGAACTGAGAAGACGCCAAGTATCTGTAGAAAGCAGGATCCACCGGGGGGTGGTGGTGGTGGTGGTGGTGGTGGTGGTGCACACCTTTAATCCCAGCACTCTGGAGGCCGAGCCAGGTGCATCTCTGTGAGTTCGAGGCCAGCCTGGTCTACAGATTGAGATCCAGGACAGGCACCAAAACTACACAGAGAAACCCTGTCTCAAAAAACAAACAAACAAAAAAGAAAGCAGGATCCACTAAAAAGGAACCATTAGCCCTGAATCTCCTCTATGGTCCTAAAAAATAGAGTTTTGAAGAAAAAAAAAAGATTCAGGTGTTCATGAAGAAGGAGGGACTCTGTACGTTGGCATCCATGCGGCTGCCATGAGCCACCTGAGGGGTTTGTTGGCCTTCTCTCAGCGGCCAGCCCCTCCCTGAGGCGGAGACCGTGGTCGCTGCCTGTGGTGCCTGTCCTCAGGCATCAAGAGAGGACCTAAAATGCAAAAGGTTCCACACCTCCCTCTCTCCCGTCTCAGATTTTCAGAACAATGTGCAGGTCAAAGTCATTCGGAGCCCTGCAGACTTGATTCGATTGATAGAGGAACTGAAAGGCGGAGCGAAGAAGGTAAGGACCTGCTCACGGCGGCGGGTGGGACCTGCCTCCCGCCCGGGAGCACTGGGAGAGAGAGCTTTACCCGGGACAGACTGGGCCCAGCAGGGCTGGCATCCCTGTGGCCGCCACTACCATGTTCTGCCACTGTGGAGATGTGCCACACGCACCTGTTACCACTGAAGCCTCCAAACTATCCATCTCCTCCCCACCCCTGACCCAGGGGAAGCCAAGCACAGGCCAGGAGCAGCCTGGAGATGACGCCGCGGAGACTCCTCAGAGGGAAGCAGAGCTGAAGGAAAAAGCGGATGAACCTCAGGCTGTGGTGGAAGATGAGGAGGAGGAGGAGGAAGAGGAGGAGGAAGATGAGCGGCAATTATTAGGAGAGTTCGAGAAGGAGCTGGAAGGGATGCTGCTTCCCTCAGACCGAGAGCGGCTCCGCTCAGAGGTTAAGGCTGGCATGGAGCGAGAACTAGAAAACATCATCCAGGAGGTGAGCGGCTCGCTCTCACTCACTCCTGCGGCTGCCACAGACGCCTGTATCTGTGGTGCGGGGCAGGACCTCCCAAGGTGGCGGCTGTTCCTTCAATAAAAGGGGGGATGAATGACAGAAAGGACTCCCCTGCAGAGCGTGCCCCCAATCCCCGTCCCCAGACCACTGACTGGCACCTTCTTTGGGCCTTCCAGACAGAGAAGGAACTGGACCCAGACGGGTTGAGGAAGGAGTCGGAACGGGAGCAGGCGATACTGGCTCTGACGTCCACTCTCGACAAACTCATCAAGAGGCTGCAGGAAAACCAGAGCCCAGATCTGGTGCAGAAGCACAAGAAAAAGAGAGCTGTCCCTCAGAAGCCTCCCCCGTCACCGCCCCCTACAGGTGAGGGCCGTCCATGGGACACCGAGTCTTGGTTCCAGGGGGCACAACTCTCTGTGCCTCCCACCTCTGGGAGCCCTGCTCTCAGGGTTAACGTCCTCCCTCCATGGTCCTCTCTGCCCGGGCACCTCAGCGTCTTCCTTCAGAAGAGGCTGCCTTGGTCTCTGGTGTGCTCTGGTGCCCACTGTCTAGCGTCCTGCCGGGCACGTAGGCAGTAACTGAATGACCGTGAGCCTAGAAGCTGAAAACGCTCATTCATGGGGAAGGGGCGCTTCACCACCTCCCTGTCGGTGGAGGTTGGGGACAAGGAGGCAGCCAGCGTGGGGGTTTCCATAGCGAACATGGAGGGGGTGGACAAACAGTGGCGTGTGTGGTAGCACCAAGAAAGGCTCCAGCTCTCGGTGTGAGTGTGCAAGCCCATTGGCGTCAGCCACCAGCCCCCAGCCCGGACACACTTCAGTTATTCCTTCTTGCGTCTCCTCGTGTTCATTTCATGGAATTCTGCTGGTGTGGAGAGAGAAGGCGTTCCAGATAGAGCATTCCAGTTTCAAACCCTCCCATCCCACCTTTTGGTAAACACTGCAAGATTCAAGTCTCAGCACGTGGAAAACCGTGGCTTCCCGACCTGCTCCTTCGAGCAAAACACTGCTTTCCTAGAGAGGATGGTGTGAGGAGGCTGCTGTTGGGCAGGGCATGTTTTTTAACCCTGGATCACACTCCTGGGAGAGAGAGCATCTACCCACACCAGCCCACGGCTTAGAGAGGCAGCCCCCGCCCCCCCCCCCAGCCCTCCATCCACCCTGGAGTCACAGCTCTGCTTTGTGTCTCCCCGTGTCTTCCCCTCTAAGAGGAGGAGCCTGAGCACAGAGTCCGGGTCCGAATCACCAAGCTCCGTCCCGGAGGCCCCAATCAGGATCTGACTGTCCTGGAGATGAACCGGGAAAACCCACAGCTGAAACAGATCGAGGGGCTGGTGACAGACGTGCTGGAGAGGGAGGGTCTCGCCGCCGAAGGTGGGCCCTGAGGGAGGGGCTCAGCTGTCCGAAGGGCTGGGTCAAGGTGGACTGGTGACCTCCGGCTGGGGGCCTGGAGGGCAGGGGACCCTCTAACAGCGCCCAGCCTTCCCCTCCTCACTACCCATACTGCTCCTTTCCAGGCAAGATCGAAATCAAAATTGTGCGCCCCGGGGCTGAAGGTAACGAGGAGGATACGCGTTGGCTGACGGATGAAGACACAAAAAACCTTAAGGAGATCTTCTTCAACATCTTGGTGAGGCACCCCACCCCCACGTCCTGGGCCCCCAGCTCCCCGCACTGTGCTGCTGAGGTCAAGGTCTGGTTAACGCCAGCCGTCCATTGCCAGCATCCCGATGTCGCACCCCGTAGGCGGTTGTATCCCCAGCCCACCGCAGTCTCGTGGGGACCCCCCCAGATCCTACAGCACAGGACTCCCCTCGGCCGTAGGCAGCACCTCCGGCTCATCCCCCCTCCCCTCCCAGGTGCAGGGAGCCGAGGAGGCCAATAAAGAGCGCCAGCGGCAGAAAGAGCTGGAGACCAACTACCGCCGCGTGT